CAAAACCCAACAAACACCAAAACCCCCCCCCCCCCCAATAAAAAATACAACATACCAGCAGGTTAACTGGCCTACAACTAAAGCCCATTTAAACTCTCATCTAAACTTAGCTAAACACATACCAGATGCGTCAAAACAAGTAGTTTCCGATATATTACATTGTATTTTTATTCTAAAGTAGCTAAAGCCAGAGTAGAAAAGTATATCCCCTTTCAGCATGCTGCAGAGTGGGAACCTTGCTTTCAGTGGAGAAGCAGTGATCTTTTTGCAGAGGTCAGATACGCCCCTGCTGAATCAGGGCCGGAGCTATCCAATCAGAGAGCAGGAGCTTTGCTGATTGCAGAGCTATAGGTCAGAATAAGTAAGAGTGTGTGTTGGAATTCTGCAGAGAGACTACTGCTTCCCCACAGAGAGCAAGGGTCAAGCTTTTCTACTCCCGCTATAGCTGCTTTAGAAACAAAATGCATAGCAACGTACTTGCATATTTTTTTAGATGAAATCCCAATGGATGGCTCCACATGGACAACTAGGCAAAGGGTTGTCATGATATGAATTTAATGACAACAAATGGGAAGATAGAGGTTAACATGAATGAGATTATGCAGTTACAAGCATGTGCTCACTGCCCATAGAGAAATTCAGGTGTTTTGGAATATTTCCAACTAGACAACAACTGCTCATGTCCTCCATTAACCATAAACAAACCCTTCCTTTTGGCATGTAAACCACATCTGAACTGTTACCAAGTCAGCCAACATCTCATAGAAAACCCTCCTAAGAGAGCAGAGGCTGTTAAAACAGCAAAGGGAACACTAACATCATATCAAATCTCTTAGTTTTACAATGAGCTATTGGACATGTAGCAGACCCAATATGAAACACTTGACTTGTAGCAGGCCTGGTATGTGTGGCCATACAAGTGTATCTGACTCTTTATGAAGAGCCTATGCTCCATATCCATACTTTAATACTGTTTATTATCCGCTTCTGTTATTTACCTGTTTCTTCATATCAGCAACTTCAGCAGAAGTTTCATTCCAGAGTTCATATGGAATGTCCATCACAACTTTCACTCCTTTATGGACAAGGTGATGCAAAGTTTGGAAGGTTTCTGACATCCCCTGAGCAAGAAAAGGGGACAGGTGAGATTCAAAGCTTATTTTCCATGAAAAACTGCCACAAAGCACATGGAGATTTGGAAGTGTGGAAAGAAAGCAGCGGACCCGTGTGGTTACTCTCTTGGTGTTTCTAATCCAACAGTAGTTAAGTGATGTGAATATGTGTATTCTGGCTAATGGGTAGGCAGCTTTCACAATCCAAAGGATCTCCACAGTATGCTTGGTTTGACAGTGAATACAGTAGATGTAGAAATTGAAGCACAACACCAAATAAAATAGTCCAGATACAGTTTTATTACATTAGGGTCAGGGGACATTTAAGTAAGTATCCAAGAGGTTTCAGGGGTCCAAAACATGCCCCCTTCATCAGCGCCTAATGAGAGAAATCATGTATGTTGACTACAATCTCTGCAGCTTGGAAGTAGCATTGTCTTGTGATGGGACTTCTTCAGGCTTGTCAGCAGCTGGTTTGGCAGCAACCACTACTGGCTGTGGTGGCATTAAAACATAAACTGACTGGTTATCCTTCCCAAGCCCTATTCTGTACCTATCACTGTTGATGTGCAAACAGCTGATGGAGGCTGGAAAACATGGCTGTCCTTATAGCCATGCTTTAGGCCAGTAAAATAGCCTAGTGATTCTGGATATACAGATAGTGTAATGGAAAGTTTTGCATTTTTACTTTAGCTACAATAATTTGAAGTATAAATATGTTAGGGAGTAAGATTAGTATGCCCACTTAACCACTTGCTGACCAGGAGTTTATACCCCTTCCTGTCCGGGCCATTTTTCAGTGTTCATCGCTGCGGTACTTTGACTGACATTTATTCCGTCATGCAACGCTGTACTGAAATTAATTTTATACAATTTTTTGGGGACAGATAGTTTTCTTTTGGTGGTATTTAATCACCACTACGGGTTTTATTTTTTACTATCTTAAAGAAAAAATGAACAAAAATGTAAAAAAAAAAAAAAAACTGTTTCCCCTTTATTATGTTAGGAAACATTTATTAGTACCCAATTTTTTGGTAAAATATAAAAGTTGGGGTCACGTCGGGCAATAGACGCCAAACACGTCAAGCCTTAAAATTGCGCACGTCCGCAAAATCGCAAAAAACGACCACACCCAAAAGTGGCCATAGGCGACGCTTTAAATTATTTTACCGCTCATCAGTTTAATGTTAACAGTGATTGATGGCCCTAAAATTATTGCTCACGATCTGACATTCGCGATGATATGTAACAAGTGCTGTGTAATAGGTGCAATAGTTGTTTTTGCATGTAGGCACAACTAACGCATTTTTGCGCATCTATGTGGGGGTGGGGGACTTTAAAAAAAAAATTGTGTTTTTTTTTGTTTGTGTGTAAATTTTATTCATTTTGTGACCAATTTTTTTTTAATATACTTAAAGCGACATTAAACCCTCAGATTTTTTAACATAAAACAATACTGTAATGTGCGCCTTACTGTAATCCATGGTTGTTTCCCTTCTCTTTGCTGCTCTTCCTTTTAAATCTGTATCTGTTCTCATGCTGGGCAGAACTTCTGTTTTGCAGCAGACTGCCTTGTCTCTGGAATGGATACATGGTGTCTGTGTGTAGGCTGTAACCTGAGCCAGCACTACAGGAAGAGGCACTCAGCTGAAAAGGGAAGTTCTCCCCAAGCATGAGAAGACATGAGGATTTAAAAGGAAGAGCAGCAAAGAGAAGGGAAACTACCATGGATTACAGTAAGGCACACATTACACTATTGGTTTATGTTAACAAATCTGAGGGTTTAATGTCACTTTAACTTTATTGTTATCACACGGGGGGAGGGGGATACAAATCCCCCTATGTGATATCAAATTACAGTGACAGGTCCCCTTTATGGAGACATCGGGGGTCTCTAAGACCCCTAATGTCACCTAGGGACCCCCAGAAAAGCTGAAGAAGCACAGATCTGCTTCACCAGCGTCTCTCTGGCTTCTGTACCGGAGAGTGACAGAGGAATGCGGAAGTGTGATGTAGTAAACATCACTTCCTGCATTCAGAGAGGGGGAGCAGAGCGGAGGGAGATCGTGTACTGAACTCCCTCCGTTCTCAGTGCACGAAGCCACATTGCCGGTCCCAGATCGGACGCCCGGGATCGCAGAGACTGCGAGGTACGGAAGGGGGCACAGAGAGATGCATCATAAAAGCGATCGGGCGTCTTTACAGACCGCTTGTATGTAAACAGCGGGCGGCCGCGGGCACGAAGGACTTTTAAAGAAGCCCACCCGCATCCATAAGGCTCCCGTCCGGCCATTTCTGAACGTACGGCGCACGGGAGGTGGTTAAAGTGTATCTAAACACAAGAAGTAAAATGTAAAATATTGTGGCTTACTAGTCTTTAGATGTGGCTGCACACTTTTGTTTTTAAAGACTTTTTTCCTTTATTATCACCTGAAGAGGCTGCAAGTAGCACATTTCCTTACTAAATAACCCTAGGACAGGAAGTTTTGTAGGACTACAAAACACATCCCCCCTCCATAACATGGGAGAAAGTCTTCTATGCTCCACAGAAAGAGCTGGGAACAATTTTAACTCAACAGCTCAGCACAGGCAGAGAGCACAATAAACTATCAGCTCACTGGATTTCTGGCAGGATCAACACGTATTTTTACACTTATGAAATGTCATTGTTAGGGTTTGCATAGCCTTTGACCTAAAATACACATGATTAAATATTGAGGTAAAATCTTATTATATTATTAATAACTGACAAAAGGTCAAGCAGCAATAAAGGGATTTTATAAAACAGTTGCTTGGTGCTAAAAACAAACTTCTTGTTCTCAGGGGTGCCTTAAAAAACAGACGTTGCCACTTCAAATACATTTTACAATTGACAGCTATGTAAATGACATGCTGGTTTAAGCAAATATTGTTTTACCACTTAGACAGAAATTTGTGTCAGTGCAGGAAAATACCTTAGCAAAGCGATTGCTGCCAGTCCGCTCTTTATGAAGGTTGTACTCCAACAGTCTTTGACAGAGGCCTTCTGTGACGTCGATCAGGCGAATATCTCTGCAAACAAGACAAACAGATTTCCGCGTACTTTTGCTGACAGAGGGCGAAAACTTGAATAACTGAATTCTTTACACAGAATATTGTGCTAGAGCAGTACTGCAGCCAACACTGATAATAAGAAACTAGTCACATCTAAGGCTCCATTCACACTAAGCGACATACCTTTAGAAGCGGATCCGGGCGGCCGGGATAGCGCAACTGTTCGGGGCGACGATTGTGCGACCTTCACCGTTGGGCTGCATTAAAAAAATAGAAAAATTGCGCGACATCCGCCGAAAAAAAGGTCCCGCAGGCACGACTTGCGACCGCGACGGGCGGCATGGAGCTGTACATTATGACAGCTCCATTTAAAATCATTGGCCGGAGACTTGGCCTAAGGCCCCATTCACGCTGAGCGGATTCCCGCCGCGACATCGTGCATTTTTGCCGCGCAATATCGCGAGAAGTAGCCGGCCAATGATTTTCAATGGAGCTGTCTTAATGTATAGCTCCATGTCGCCCGTCGCAAGTCGCACCAGCATGACCCTTTTTTGGGCAAATGTTTGCGTGATTTTTCTCTTTTTTTAATGCAGCCCGAAGGTGAAGGTCGCGCTACCGTCGCTGGAACGTCGCCCCGAAAGTCGCGCTATCCCGGCCGCGCGGATCTGCTCCAAAAGGTATATCGCTCAGTGTGAATGGGGTCTTACTGTTTATTACTAACTACAAGAAGTTGTCAGATAAAAACAGCATAAATACAGAACAAAAACAAATTCAATAGATAAGAAAATGCACCATTGGTCATGCTCTTGTGGAAGTCTGATGTCCTATTTTCTCAAAGTACCATTTAGAGTTTTATTCAAGAAGCTGGATTGTTACAATGGGTAGGAGCACATGGGGGGGGGCATCCAGTAGTTTATAAGACGAGCAGAAACTGTAAAGTATTTTGGGAGTAACTTACGAGTTTGTATATTTGATCTTTTTCTTTTTTCCCTCTTCCAAAAATCCATATCGTGTATCGATCACTTCATGTGTCCGAGATGTCTCATCAAATGAGGATTTCAGTTCAACAGCGACATATTTGCACACTGCAATAGAACACATTATGACATATCACTTCATACTGTGTAAGTCACAGCCCATGGAAGAGAAGATGATCTCATTCAAATTCTCGCTCTGTCACAATAAACGTTACTTTTAGGTTTAAAGGACGAGAGTGCTTTGTCATTGAGATCAGTCCAGATGTCATTTTAATTTGTTCCGACAAAGTATTTTTAAAAAACATGCACCCTTGCCCGACTATGTTTTTACATATTCTGAACAAACAGCAAAACATTTAAGACCAGCTATCACTGACCCTTGTAGCTGCATGTACTGTGAAGTAATTCATCCTCAAAGATCATAACAGACTCTGAAGTGGGGTGTCAGTCAGTTTCCAAGGGCCCATTCCCAAATGCACAGTGCACTACATCACATACTAGATGCAATGGTGGGCTACGTTGGCAATCATTCTAAATGGCACACCAACACACCTCCCACAGTGGGCATGTGTTGCTCCGCAACACTTGGTACCACAAAAGCGTGTGCTGCCTTACCGTGTGATGAGAAAAAACAACATGCATTCATTTTTATACGCCCGGGACATGCGTTGGGGTGCCATTCATTCTGAATGGCAACGCAACAAACAGCACACGCAATGCAGTGAGCAACATCGTGAGCCTGGCAGGATGCCAAGTTCCTACTGCCATAGAAAACCAGTGAAGGGGAGTTGAGATTCAAGTGTCTCTGTTTAAACTTTGAAGAGGAATTTCTCCACAACGCCTACTGCTACAAAGATCAATAAGGGCTTGCTTTTAAATGTATCTACTGTTTGTTCAAACTGTGTATACACTTTATTGTGCATAGTCTGGGCACAGGTTGAAGTGGCACTAAACTCAGGAGTAAAAATGCATTCAAGTTGGCACTGTTCTTCCTTCTGGAGGGTGGCTACTTTTGTTCCCCATGGTCCCTGTATGTGTTGTAAAGTAACCACTACTCCAAGACCACTGCTGGGATGGCCTACAATCTCATGTTTAGTTTAATAATTTGTATTATTAGTTCTCGGCGAGGTAAGTAAGAAGACTGACGCTGACTCGAGTATAAGCCGAGGGGGGCACTTTTCAGCCAAAAAAATGGGCTGAAAATCTCGGCTTATACTCGAGTATATACGGTATTATTATATAGTATTTTTATAGCGTCAACAGTTTGCGCAGCGCTTTACAATATAAGGAAGACATTACAGTTACAATACAAGACAAGATGGTGAGGAGGGCCCTGCCCCTGAGGGCTTACAATCTAAAAGAGGAGGGGGAAATGATACATGAGGAGGTAGCTGTGTGGGGATGAATTATTTGAGAATGTGAAGGTTCAGTGGTTAGGTCGAGCTGGGATAGGCTTCCTTGAAGAGATGAGATTGTAGTCCACCACAGGAGTGAGCTTGGAGCGGTGGCTACTTTACAACACACACAGGGACTATGGAGAACAATGCATTTTACATCTAGACCAATATATATATGGCCTGGCAATCTCTTCCTTTACTTAACACAAATTGGCTATCCCAGAGCATCAGAGAACAGCCTCAGTATAATAACCCTATCCAATAGCCACCCTCACAGAGCTTGGGTTCCAGTGTTCACCACCACAACCTTGGATTACAGTAAATATTAGAGCAGTGGATTAATCTGTGGCTTATTGTGCAACGGTTATTGCCGAATTCGAGCCAAAACCTTTTTATCTAATTTTAGAGACCATGCAGAAAGGGTGACATTCTTTGTCTTTTTTGCCATCTGTGTCCCCATTGGCATGATCTCCATACCATATATCAGAAAAAGCTACAAATACTCTAAATGGAGATCCCAGGACAGAAAGTTATTACTTTTTGATCATGACAACAATCATGCAACACCAGGCTTATGACTATATTATACTTACATTTCATCAATCACAGCTTTACAAAGATAAAGAGATTGGTGTGCGGGAAAAGGTTTTCATGAGTGCGGGAAATGTTTCAAATAGTCACTTATTTATAAAACACCAGGACAGATATGTGCAATAGAAATTTTTATTAGCATGATATTTTGTCAAATGAATACAGATATCAGGACCAGATATTGTTGTTTTGTTTAATGGGGGGTATAGTTGTGTTTGTTATTTTTGGTTTAAATATGAATTATGATAATAAATACTAAATATTTTTAAGCATTTTGTGTATATGGAAAGTTTTCTGTCCTGGGATCTCCATTTAGAAGGTATTTGTTGCTTTTTCTGATATATTCTGAAGGAGTTATACCCAGGACTGAAAAATAAAATAAAATAAGGGAGTTATATATATCAAGTAAATAATGATCTAAGGATTGTTACCCACTAGTTGCCTTTTCTATAAATAGATGATCTCGAGCCAAAACCTGTCAGGACAGGAAGTGCTAAAAGGTTTTTTTATTGCTATCCATGCCTTCCTTTTCCAGCTACAACAACAGCCCCCATTATGTCAGAGGAATGGGAAGTGAATGAAAGTTTCCTTAATAGGGTCAAAAACAGAAACAAAAACATTTACCTGTTCCTTCTCTATTCTAAACTAAAATCCGCCTACAGTTCGGCTTTATGGACAACTGTACTGTGAGTGTAGATCAATAAGCTGTAATCTCCACAAGCTGCCAAGGTAAAAAAAATGTAACAGTATTTATACAAAGCAATAATTGGGTTCCTGAGCCTACAAACACCTATCATCTAAGGCTGCAGTCAGCCAATACTAGCGGGAGCTTTTGAGAGATGTACTCTACATTGGATTCAATGAGTAGTCAAGTCTTTGCTTGTCTCCAAAGAGGAGTCAATTTATATGCTAATTATGAAGTGTTGTTGGGCACATCATTGATGAGTATATTCATAGCAGTGTGTATTGAATGTCAAGGTTGGGCGACCTTGCAATCATACATACAATAGGCTTTTTTAGGTAATTCCTATACTCCACAGTGCCATATAGGGGCATGAGTGTTGGGCTGCAACCACCTAATCGATTAATCGATAATGAGAATAGTTGTCACCCATTCTCATTATCAATTAGTTGGTTGGATCCCCTAGCTCTCTCCTGCATGCTGGGAGGAGTGGGCGGGTGCAATAGCCAGCCTGCTTTTGGCTATTGCTATCTGAAAAGGCCAATAGGCTGGCTATTGCACCAACCCACTGTATTTACATTCAGCTGACGTCTGCGGAATCTTGCCACTGGCAGCCGTCATTCTCTGGCTGAAGTTATTCCAGCGCCATTTGTGCTCACAATACAATTATTTTAAATAAAATTTGTATAAAATTTTAGATTGTAAGCCCTCACGGGCAGGGCCCTCCTTACCATCTTGTCTTGATTTGTATTGGAGTGTGGTGGTTGGCTGTTTTCTAGCCACCTAATCATCTCGGTCCTCCTCACATTTTATCTCAGGCACTGCTTATGCATGACTACTAAATACCGGTCCCCTGAAGAAGCTAAATTTGCGAAATGCGTTGGGTCCATCGGGACAATCATGTCAGTTATGTACTTGGATTTTTATTGAACATTAGGGACATCCTTATATTGTAAAGCGCTGTGCAAACTGTTGGCGCTATATAAATCCTGTATAATAATAATAAAAAGGTGGGAAAAAAGTATTTTTGGTTTTGGCCTGACAAATTCTGCTGTGGGAGGTGCGTTGCAGTGCCATCCATTTCAATGGCACCCCAAATGCGCCTCCCACCTACAGTGTGATCACTGGAATATACTATACAGCAATGCCATGCACAAGCAGTTCAGTGCGATTGCAAAAAATTGTGCATGCAGCTTTATTCTGTAGTAAACTTTATGTCTATACCACTGCATTTGTGTATTTTATTTTAAATTAAGGATGGTATTTATTAAGTTTTTTTTTACCTGAGTAATCGGAAAAATAATCGGCCAACTAATTGATTATGAAAATAATAATTAGCTGCAGCCCTACATGAGTGCAAATTGCATCCACCCTGCAATATTATTAATAAACCTGTAAATATATTTATATTATAAAGCACTGTGCACACTATTGGCGCTATATAAATACTGTATAATAATAATATAATTTTTTTTTAATGCAAGCAGTGTAGGTACCTAAATTTGACTTGGTGTCAGCCTCTTGTACAGCAGGAGTTTAAAGTGGGAAGAAGAAGCAGCACAAGAAGCCAATGAGTTTATGTGCTGGCAAGGAGCATGCTGATAGAAGAAGAAAGCAGACTGACAAAGAGATGGGCTCATCACCAGAGCTGTAGCTAGCTCCTTTTGCGCCCAAGGCAAGAACGAAAAATTGTGCCCCCCCCAACAACAGACGTGTGCGATATGTGACGTCATGCACCCCGCCTCCAGAATGGCAGCGCGCATGCGCAGAATGCACAGGTGGCCAAATCCAAAATAGCATAAAAATGTGTTTTGTTTGACATTTTTAGTTTCGCCTGAAACTAATTTGTATTCTTTGCACATGTCTAGTAATATGTGTGCTTGAGTGTGTGAGTCTGTGTGAGAGTGTGGGGGGGCTGTTTTTTTTTTTATTTATTTTTTTACTGTTAGGGGGCTTTGGGGAAATATCAGAGGTCTAAACAGACCCACAACATTTCCCTTTTGAAATAGAAAAAGAGATTGAGGTGGGTGAGAGCAGCAGGGATCTGAGGAGAAGCTGGACCTGAGGTGAGTGCCTCACTCGCCCCATGGTAGCTACAGCCCTGCTCATCACTGCCCTGCTTCTTCACTGTCCAGTCACAGGCTGGAGATGGGTCCAGGATAACATGTGCTCAGCAAGTAGGTTGAATGATGCTTGCCATCAGACTGAGGACATCTATCAGCAGAAACATTGACTGCAGAGAAAATCTCTGGATTGAAGATGAACATTATAGAAAAAGCTAATTTTATATTTTAATGGACTATTCAGTTTTATCTTGTTTATTTAGCTGGAGTTCTGCTTTAAGAAGACCACTGTTGCCAGTTCTAATTTGACAGCTCTAGTAGCACCCTCCATTGATCACAGCCACAATATTTTCACTGCTGGTCATACCTTCACATTTACTGGGCAAATGGACCCAATCACCATCTACCGCACCACCCAATCCAACCTGTAACGGAACCAGGAGAAGTAGGAACCACATGCTTGATGGCTGCAAGAAAACAAAACAAAAAATTAATTAGTGATACAGCTTCAGAAAATGTTTTCGTTCCTGTGGACCGAAGCAATATTTCCATTTTTGCTATGTGTTTGTTTAACCATAATTTCCATCTTCCCCGTTCCTTGCACCTACACATCTTATATACAGTTTTTTAAAGGACAAAATGGGCTTCATTTTGATGTGACATTTGCATACATAAATTCTTTTTTTTATATAAAAAAATACAGCAATATAACAAAAAAAAACCAATTTTTCAGAGTTTTGGCAATAATGTGTACATAATTAGTGTGGCTAACAGAAAGCAATTCATAAGAAATTATTTTATTTGTCCTAATTTACGTATAGCATATGTCTGGGATTTCATTTATTTTGGGAAATATAGATCACAAAATACAATTTTAGTTTGGAACAATTTTAGAATGTGCTGTGCTTGTCTCCTATCTTTAGTAGCCTCATCAGCACTATATTGTCCATTTTTTTTTATTAAACCTATTTTTTTTAACTTTTTAAACTCTTTTCCTTTTATGTTTTTTAAAACTTTACTTTTAAATGTTATTATTTTTTTTAAACTAAGGAGCACTAAGGGGTTATTTTCTTTTTTTATTTACAGGGGCTTCGATACTTAGTATATCTGAGGAGAATACAGTATTCCCCTCAGAGATGCTTTTGTATCAGTTTGTAACACACAGCCGGCTTGCAGCTGCAAAACACAGTGAGCTGCAATCCGGCTTAGGGGCTGTCACGGCTCTAAAAATCACATTGATCAGCTATCACTGTGATCATAGTGCTGTGACCACCTAATCTGCTGTTGCGAGTCAGGAAGCACAGCAGTTAAATGTAGTGAGGATTATACTGCCCACAACCCTAGTGGGCAATCTTTCCTACCCCTCACTATGTTTCTGACAAGTCAAGCTTGGCTTTTCAGGAACCCCCTGGCAAAGTACCTTGTCCACATGTCGATGAAGACAGGGGCTTCTTCCCCAAAACCCTGGTCTGGTGGTTGTAGGGGGGGGGGTCTGCTGGCCTGGGGGGAGCTTATAGGAATCTAGGTGTCCCCTTTCACCCCTCCTCTCGTGAATGAGTAAGGGATAGTTGTTACTTTTACTCATTCACCAAATGAACATTAAGATTGTAAATGAACCCACAACACCATACAAAAATCCTTTATTTGAAAAAAAGAAAAAACACAGGATTTTGGCAAGTCTTTTATTTTAAAAAAATAAGAAAAATGTCCATCTATGTAATCCAAAGGGCAATCATGTGATCCAGCAATATAGATCCACGCCAATCACGATGGACGATAGCCGCCATCATGCTGAAATAAAAAATTCCCACCACCACCACCACCTATCTCTGACAGCTCTGACCTGAATGTCAAAAGGGGGTGGAGCGAGTCGTAACGTCACAGGACTTGTTCTGCCCATTTGTTTACATTCCATTAGGGGACAGAGAGCTGTCACGGAACGTAAACAAATGGGTGGAACAAGTTCCGTGTCGTCACGACTTGCTCTGCCTCTTTTTTGTTTGTTTTTTTCAAATAAAAGACTTGTCAAAAACTGTTTTGTTTTTTTTCAAATAACGTACTTTTTTTAACGGTGTGGTCGGTTTATTCAGAATTTTACTGTATTTGGTAAACGAGTAGGGGTAACAACTACCCCTTACCGGAGGTCCTCCCCTGGCAAAGCACCTTCCCCATGTTGAGGGCATGTGTGGCCTGGTATGGTGAGGGGGGAGGGCTTTCCTGCTCTTATTTCCTTTTAGTGACACCGCCAACACAAGGAAATGTTTTACTTTCAACGACACAACTGGCACGGTGGCATTTTTTACATCCAGTAAACTCCACTGGATGTCCACTGCTCCAAGGAAATTTTTTACTTTCAGCTGCACCACCGAGTAAGGAAATGTTTTTCCTTTTAGTGACACGACCAACACAGGGACATTTTTTTTCCTTCCAGTGACACAACAACATTTTTTCCCTTTTAGTGACATAGATGCAGGGACATTTTTCCTTTTAGTGACACCGACACAGGAACATTTATTCCCCTTTAATGACACAGACACAGGAACATTTATTCCCCTTTCAATTACACCCACACAGGAACATTTATTCCCCTTTTAATGACACCGACACAGGGACATTCATTCCCCTTTTAATGACACCGACACAGGGACATTCATTCCCCTTTTAATGACACCGACACAGGGACATTCATTCCCCTTTTAATGACACAGGGGCATTTATTCCCCTTTTAATGACAACGACACAGGGACATTCATTCCCCTTTAATGACACAGACGCAGGGACATGTTTCCCCTTTTAGTGACACCACCAACACTATGTCAAAGGTGAGGGATTTTCACCCTGCTAAGGGTGCAATCCCAATAAAAGAATGCCTGCACTAAAGCTGCTGCAAACTGACTGAGATGATTTCAGGGATCTACAAGTTGCATTTGTATATTCCCATCATAGAGATTCCCCTCCACATGGCTATACACACTTTTTAGATTGTAATCTCTCACGGACAGGGCCCTTCTTACCATCTTGTCTTGAATTGTAATGTCTTCCTTATATTGCTGTGCAAACTGTGGTCGCTATATAAATCCTGTATAATAATAATAGAGCTTATATCAAGTTAGGGACCTACCCTTAGATGATTCAACCTGCACATTGGGGCATCTGCTGCCTGGCAATAGATCCAGTGTATACTTTCAATTTTGTGGTGGCCATTAGGGCTCCTTCCACCTTTCCCATAGAGAGGGCAACATACATACATTGTGTAAGCACGTACAGGTCCCTCTGAGGTTCCATGGCTATCGCTGCATGGGGCAGATCACACAGAATACAAGGTAACAAATCGTACAATACGATGTAACAAATCGTACACTACAAGGTAACAAGTCATAGAACGCAATCTAATTCATACAATCTCACCGTTCCAGCTTATCTCCGTTTACTTCCCCTTTTCTGCTGTCATATGACCTGGCCGTCCAATCACGAACTGCGAAGAGCTGTCCAATCGTAACCCCCAACGTGCAGGATCAGGGTCTTTTCTATAAAGACCTGTGAGGCAACCAAAAGTGTCTTCAATTTCTTCGCACTGAGAAACGTAGCGGCCATTTTGTTGTAGACTTGGACACGCATAAAGCTTACCGTGCGCGACCTGCAAGGCTAGAGTATCCATTTGCAGTGGTGGATAACTTGTGAATATAGGGGGGTCCAAGTGCAGCCTCCTGACATGTCCAGAGAGCGGCACAGTAGTTCAGATTTCATAAATGTATGTTGCCTTACAACATGTGCAACTGTGTTACTGCAACACATGGTAACATATGCACCACTCTGTGTGCATCGTGGTACCATGCGTTTAGAATGACACCACAACTGATACAGTAATGAGGAACTCCAGCGCACCACAATGCACATGCTGTGTGTTGCATAGGGTTGCCACCTGTCCAGGATTCACCTGGACAGTCCGGGTTTTGAATGCTGTGTTCGGGTTTCATGGCAGTTGAAACCCGGAAACATGATGTCAGACAGACAGGGGCAACCAAAATGAAGATAGGGGCTACTGGCTAGGGTTGCCACCTGTCCAGGATTCACCCGGACAGTTCGGGTTTTGAATGCTGTGTTCGGGTTTCATGGCAGTTGAAACCCGGAAACATGATGTCAGACAGACAGGGGCAACCAAAATGAAGATAGGGGCTACTGGCCCCCCACTGAAAATAGTCCCAGCTGTGATATTTACATTTGAATGGGTGGTGCTATTCACATATGAATAAGCCACGACTCATTCTCCCAAAAAAATGTCTGCACGTCACTGAAGTGTTCGGGTTTCGCATTTTGAGAAAAGGTGGCTACCCTAGTGTTGCATTAAAACAAAGTAATGCCTGATTTTAAAATGCATTACAATTCTGAATGGTATTGCACTTGCTTATGCATTAAACACAAATGTCACCCAGAATTTTCAAGGTATTTGGTGTGACCCTAGGACAAATGGGGGGAGGTTTTTTTTTAAAATTATTAATGTAGTGTAGCCCCTGCACAGTTGCTAAAGTGTTTTTTTCTGTAAATAAATAATTACTACCATCAGGACTTGTATGGCAGAGAGAGATGTATGGAACTAGTAGTGTTGAGAGAGGAAGAGACAATGGTATCTTACACAGAACAAACTACAGATCCCAGGAGGCTTTTACAACCTGGGGAGGTATGGACTCAACCCTCACAACGCCTGAGACTCTGGAAGTGACAGGAACTTCTGTTGAGGACTGTCTGTTTTATCACCCCAGGGAGAGAGAGAAACCTTGTAGTGACCACCGCTGTAATTGCTGAGATAGCTGTGAGCACCGCTGAGGAGACTGCCCGATCTGATGGACAGCATATACCAGGGGTGCCCATTAGGTAGATCGCAAAGCGAACACTGGTAGATCGCGATCAGTTCACTGACCTGTGTCCTGTTCTCCCGTGGTGCTCGTGCGGATGAATGTGTCAGACGGCGCAGACGGGAAGGAGAGAGGAGACTTGGGAAGCTGCTGCAGTGGAAGTAAGAAAAGACAGACAGGAGAGAGACAGCAGAGAAAGTGAGAGGAGAGACAGCTGAGAGAGAGAGGAGAGACAGCAGAGAAAGTGAGAGAAGAGACAGCAGAAAGAGAGAAGAGACAGCTGAACTAGTAGTGTTGAGAGAGGAAGAGACAATGGTATCTTACACAGAACAAACTACAGATCCCAGGAGGCTTTTACAACCTGGGGAGGTATGGACTCAACCCTCACAACGCCTGAGACTCTGGAAGTGACAGGAACTTCTGTTGAGGACTGTCTGTTTTATCACCCCAGGGAGAGAGAGAAACCTTGTAGTGACCACCGCTGTAATTGCTGAGATAGCTGTGAGCACCGCTGAGGAGACTGCCCGATCTGATGGACAGCATATACCAGGGGTGCCCATTAGGTAGATCGCAAAGCGAACACTGGTAGATCGCGATCAGTTCACTGAC